GCAAATTTTGCCTGCTTAAAATGTTTTTATTAATGCCAAATAAAATATCCAGCACAAATTACGTATGATAGGCATAGATTCATCATTTGTGTACTTTACTTTACACTCATATTTAGTTTGTGGGACTGCAGTTTATCATCCCACCCGCCCGCTCCCACATTGTGTAGTCCCGCTCTCGCCCGCACCCGCAATGAGCTTTTCAAAACAGCATGAATAGTAAAGTATGAATATTAAAAAATATTCACAGGCAAGAAATGTGCCATTAGACCACATGGAGTAGTTTACGCTCATGGACCATTATGGAACCTACCTAGACGATTGAGGGATCACACAGATACACTTTATGGTAGCGTAAGAGAAATTCCTATTATTTCACGCTGAAAATCATATTCTGTTGTATATCAGGTCCCTTCATTTATATCGAAATTGAGTTTGAAATTTTAGTATTATGACAACACTAGTTCCTGGTTCAGTTTCTTCTGCACATGGGACCTTGTGGTGAGAAGTTCAGCCCCAGAAGTCTGGCCAAAATTCTAATGCTCTGATTTTTATAAATTGCATAAGCACATGGATGGGACAAGATCTTGCAAGATAAAATTGCTACAATATTATGCAAATGTGTAGAATAATTTTGTGATTTCATTCTAATGTGTACAGTATATAAGTATATAAATGCTGGTGAATTACATTTTGAGAAGTCATAGTTCCAAAAAGCAGCGCTAGATATGAAATAAAATATATTAGAAGTAGTGGGCTGAACTGCACCATTTATGTATTATAACTTATGTCAAAATCTCATCTTGTCTCATTCTCATGGAGCCAATCTTGTTTTATATTGTGGGAATTGTCTTGGCCCATCCCATAAGCACATAATTCTGAGGATTACTCTCACTATATCTAAATTTAGCTTTTGGCTGATTCAATTTAAGCATTCAGTTTTGGCGAAGCTCAGTGCCATAGTCATTATAGTTATTCACCAAAAGAAATCCACAATGGAGAGTGTCTAGCAACCTCAAAACGCTCTGAAAATTGAAATGGCAAACATGGGTGAGTGAGCAGTGAATCAGACTCAGTGAAAGATGTGAATAGACTAAATGTGCAGCTTTTTATAGGCCAGCTTTTATAGAGTGTGAAAGTAGGTATCATGCACAAAATATTCTCTGAGCCAATAAACTCAGTGTTATGGTTTATTTTTGTGAATCAGCAGTGAAATGTAAAAAGTATCCAAACGTTGTCAAATCTACTTAATACAGGTTACAAAATCACATAAAATTGAATCTTGTGAGCTTTTAGCAACACTTTATCATTAGTCTGTCTATAGCTCCAAAGCTCAAATGCTCTGTTCCACCTTGTGATGTCATGAAGAGATGGTTTTCAAGTTAACAGCTGCCTTTTACCTTTAGGTCTGAAGAGATTGGCAACTCCAGGGCTGAAATGTTCAATATTATTCTAGTAAATGTGTACAGTTTAAAGTTTAAAATCATAGTGGAGCACTTCTTGTAGTACCACATGACATCACAAGGTGGAACAGGGTGTTTTCAGTTTCAGTCTAAATCGTCTAAATATGCAGGGTGTGTGTGTTTAAACTATGTGGATGAAACAAAACACAACTCCTGGTATGTTTTTGATGACTAAACAGCATTATAATAGAGATAAGAAAATAGAGTAGTAATACAAGGGCTTTAATACGGCAGGTTGTAAGTACTGTCACATTATTACTTTTTGCTATATGAAAATAAAGGTGCACTGTGTAACCTTTCTGGTGGAGGGTCCGTCACTTACTTGTCTCCATGGAGATGTTTTGCCTTCATTATTCCACAGTTTGATGTCCAGATCTATAGAAAAGCAAGCCTGGACATGAAAAAAGTTCATGTTTTTTAAAGTATTTTTGGACTATAAAACTTGAATTGATTGAATAAATGCAAGTGATATATGTTTAATGCCCTATGGTGGAACATTCCAGGCAAAGAAATGACATGGAGATAAGCACGTAGCGGACCCCCCACCTTAGAAGTTACACGGAGCAACGAAAAACAACGAAACTATGGACTAACTGATCACTCCAAGTATTGAGTTCAGGCATTAGAGTCTTACAGGCCAATTTAGGTAAACCAATATTCAGCAGCAGCTCTATCGTCCTGTGAGGCTCCTGCTCTAAAAATAGTTCAGTGAGTCAAACATTTGGACTTTTAATTTGTCTCATAGCTCAGATGCCTGTGAAAGGTGGCTTCAACAGTGACTGATAATTAACAAGGATAATTTGTACTAAAAGCACTGGAGACATTTACATGTGGTGTGCCCAGTCAACCAAGTTTATTTAGTGGTTGCATATTTTGAAGTAAGATATGCTGTATTGCAAACAATTCAGGCAAGGCAAGTTTATTTGTATAGCAGAATTTACACAAAGTAAGTCAAAGTGCTTTAAAAATAATACAATGCAATTCAAAATAATCAAAACACAAGTAATCATCATAAAATTTACATCGAAAGAGAAGAGTGTGGAATAAAAAGCTTTGAAATATGCACAGCTAAACAAAGGATGATTTAAATGCCAAGTCAAACTAAATGTGCAATATTGTAACAGTTTAGGATTTTGTATCAGTAATGAGGTTGTTTTTTATTTGAATTAATTCAGCTCTCAAATGTAATCATAGTACAAAATAATTACAAAAAGTTATTCATTATACCTAAAAGTACCCACGAGAAATATTAACTCTGAAAATGTTTACTCAGTCTGTCGTTTTTAGAAGCTGAAGTTGGTATAGGTTTGCAAGTTTTGTGGTCGGGGGTCTCCATGGAGATGTTATTGCTTTGTCTGGAATGTTCCATGGTATGACTTTAAACATATCTATCATCTGTTCATTATGGGTGTTTCTAATGGTCAGAAATACAATAATTCCTTCTGTGAATAGGAGCGACTCTCCACAGATCTGATTTGTAATGTAGTGCAATGCTGTGACCTGCTCGTCTCCCTAGTGATAGATAGGTTTAATCTATACGGTGGAACATTCAGCAGGTGGCGAACCCTCCTCTAGAAATGTTACGCAGTGCACCTTTAAGTGTACTATTTTCTCCAGTTTTCAGAAAGCTGTTGACAACCACAAAATCGCTTGAAAAATTAGCAGTAAATTTCTGATCTCGACATTTCTGCCAATATAGCTCAAGCTTAACTCTCTGTAAAAGTTTTAAAAGAGGACAGGCCACACTAGAGACAGTTAGTTGTTTTTTGGAGTCCTGGAAACTGTCAATGAAGGAGGGAATGAGTGCACGGTTTAAAGAACAGAATGGAGAGATGAAGCTTTGTTGAGAGAGAGAGTGAATGCCAGCTATTGTAGGAATGCCGTAGCAACACAGCCATGGGGCAGCGGGAGGAGGAGGAGGAGGAGGAGGAGGGGGGGATGTTGGCTTGGATGGGGGTCACTGAGTTTTAGTTGCTTTCTCTTCTGGGGCTGCTTCTTGTCAATAGTTTAGTGCTGAAGTGTTGGCCAATTGTAAATGCGGTCTTTAAAGTTTTAGTTAGTTCTGGATGAAGAAGATCTGAAATAGAGCGGCGCAGTTAATCAAATATTAATCTACATCCAAATTCTGTCATTTCTAATCGCTCAGTTTGTTTTTTTTTAATTGAGAAGTCTACAGCCAATCTTGGTTCAGTAAAAAAAAGGTTTGCAACTGAATTCAGAGGAAGAACTTAGACTTTTTGGTGACGGCAATAACACTATACCATAAACTGACTATCCGTGGATTTCAGAGAGATGAAAAATTAGCACCACTGTGATATGAATAATTCAAAACCAGTGGCCAAACCTCCTTATCAGAGCTTCAGCTTCAGATCCCAGAAGCTCAGCAGGGTCGGGCCCGGTTAGTACTTGGATGGGAGACTGCTGGGAAAATCAGGTGCCACAGTGGGGTGCCAGTAGCAAAATTGAGGTTGGGAAAGACACTTCTCCCACATAGTATGAATGTGGTGTGAGTGTTGGTGGTGGTTGTAGGGGCTGATGCTGCGGATTGGCAGCCTCGATTCTGTTGAGTCTGCCACAGGTCAGCTGTGGCTACAATAGTAACTTACCACCACAGAGTGAATGAATAATGCACTAAATTGTACAATATTTAGTATTAATAATAATGTATCTTTTGAATGTTGAAAAGTACACTAATCCACTGTTTCCCAAAGACTGCGTCGCAACCCTCAGGTGGGTCGCAAGAGATTTATTTCAGGTTGCTTCGTCACGATTTGCATGTAGGTCTGGAATATACAGTTCTGCCTATAAATCTGATATGCGTGTTGAGCTCTCCTCCTGGACCCTGGACTGAAACATGCTTCAAAAACGCAGACAGGCCCACCTTTCTCATTAGAAATACTGAAATGTTAAGACATGTTTTGTATAATTTCTAATATGTTTGTAATTATTTTATTTACTATTTTGTTCCAGTATTGCTAGTTCAATTGAATGTAAAAAAAAAATTAAAAAAAAAAAAATAATAAATGGGCTACATTTAATGTCCAGATATGGATCCCTTTTATTGCTGATTTAATTATTATTTTTCCATTGTTTAATACTTGAGTAATACTAATTGTTCAGTAATTGTTCAGAGAGAAGCATCAGTCAGTCAACAATAAAATATCCTCATTAATGTTCAATAATGGTCAAATCCACCTTTATTTAGTGATTTACCAATAATGTGTATTGATTTGGGTCACGAAGGTTTGTGACTTTTAAAATATGGGTCCCCAGAAAAAAAAGTTTGGGAAACACTGATCTAACCTACAAAAAGATGAGTGAAAACCAGGGATACACATATGAAGTGTATGTATGTCTGTATGTATGTCTGTATGTATGTCTGTATGTATGTCTATACTGATGTTTTGTGCTCTCAATCTGGGCCATGTCTACTAATTCAAAAAACTGCTTTTCACATCAGTCAGTGTGCTTTTAACTGATGCTTTTTATAATATTAATTTTTGGCAAGATATAAATGATTTAATTTTTTTTCTCTTTCAGGATCCTGCTGGCATTTTCGAGCTGGTCGAGCTGGTAGGAAATGGCACATATGGACAAGTGTACAAGGTAAGACATTTCATAATAATACCATGCCAACTTTTCACATGGTTGGAAGTTATGTTGATCTATTTTTTGAAGACCTAAAATATGCCAACTTATGCGTGCCCACAAGTCACCATATTAATAAATGAACTGTTAAACTGTTTTAGTTAACATGGAAGGCTATGTACGTTATTTAGGTCTTGTGGTGTTTATTTTTGCCTGGATTTTGTAATAGTTAAACTTGGTCAGAATGTGCTAGCCTCACTTTCACCTCTCATTTCCTGTTGTACTCTGAAAAGCAGAAGTTACACAAACCGTTTAGCTTGTATGTATGTTTTTCTAGGTATTTTTGAGCTGTAATTTAATAATTGTAAGATAAATGTAAGATAGAGCTGTTTAATGTCATACTGTGGAACATTTTAGGCAAAGCAATGATGAAAATTTCCATAGAAACAAGTAGGTGACGTTCCCCAAACCAAAACGTTACATAGTGCTGCTTAACGCACAGCTTTCTCAAAAACTCTCTCATTAATAGTTGGTCCTTTCCCCTTTTCGTTGTTTTTGCGTAAGACTGTGTATTAGCATTTCTCCTCTGATCTTAGCAGGGGGTAGCGCATGGCACCCATGGGAGCCACTTTATCCGGTGCTTTTGGGGAAGTGTGGCAGGAAGCTGTTGTTTTGAGCGGGTGACATCGCAACATGAGCATGGTGTGACTTTTTTGCTGTCTTTGGCCTTCAGCTGTTTCCTGATGCCATGTTTTAAATAAAATTTAAAAAAGCATATCTCTTTATAACCAGTATGAACTTCCCCTTGGTGCATTAATGATTGATTTCCTGTTTCTCTGGCCTATTTTGACACTCAACAGGAAATGGTATGGTAGTACAAAGCGATCTGCACCTTTGAGTTACAGTTAAACATGTGAAAGTGTACAGAGAAGCTGCGTGAGAAACTGCAATCAAGTTAAAACCAGTATTTGAAATAACCACAATTGGTAAATGGCATGGACAACAATTATTAAAAAACAAAGTGTACCAGCTCTACAGGAAGACTACAGTAATGTACTTAAAGGTGCATTGCGTAACTTCTCTGGATATACCATTGCTCTGCTTGGAATGTTCCACAGTATGACTTTAAACAGCTCTACTTTACATTTATTCAATCAGAGATGGTTTTATAGCTCAAAAATACCAGTACCAATGCCAATAGAAACAGGCATTCTGACTGTGTGCGAGTTGCCTTTCCACAGATCTGACCTGTAACTTGGTCTGGTTTGGTCTCCATGATGACAGAAAAGTTTAACATTCCAGACAAAGCAATAACATCGCCATGGAGAAAAGCGTTTGACGGACCCTTCACCAGAAAAGCACCTTTAAGTTTACATTTTACCTATCTGTACTTTACTTGAGTAGATTTTAAAGTGGATACGTTTTACTTTCACTTCACTACATTTGAGAGCAGGTGTCTGTACCACAACATTTTTGAATTTCACTGAAAGTAAAAGCTTTTTTTTACAGTCTGACACCTGCTGAAAAACCTCAGGGTTTATTTTTAACACATTTATAGTTTGAGCAAATAAAACTATACAAAAAATAAAATCAGACAGGGAAAAAAAAAAGTTCAATCAAAATCACAACATTTAAAGATCTCAAAATCAGTGCAAAATACTTTTACTTTTTGGTCATTAGGTACATTTTCAAACAAGTACTTCAGTTGATTTTTTTCATGTGATACTTTTACTTTTGAGTATTTTTTGGTCCTGTATTTGTGCTTTTAGTTAAGTAACACTATTGAGTTAAACATGTTGGTACTTTCTAGCATTAGTTTAGCAGTGTCACTCCCATTACTGAACATGACTTCTTCTGAAAGTGTTAAAATGTGTGTTATATTTAGTTTGAATAAAAAGGGGAGTTGTTGTTACTTCAAAAATACAGAATTACTAAAGTGGAAGTCAAGTTCTCACCCAAATGATTATTCAAGTAAAAATATTCATTAAAAGAATACTTATAATGCCTGTTTAAAGTTGCCTGTTTAATGTAACTTCTCTGGTGGAGGATCTGCCACCTGCTTGTCGTCATGGAAACATTGCTTTGCATGGAAGTTTCCATAGTATGATATAAAATGTACGTATCCTGTATTTATTTAATTAGAGATGATAATATTGCTCAAAAATACTTCGTAACACATGCATTTTTACAGTGAGTGGGGTTGCCTTTCCACAGATATGACCTGTAACTTGGCCTGGTGGCGGCTCCTATAAATAAATAAGTTTAATGTTATATTGTGGAACATATAGGTAAAGCACAAATAAAATAATGAATGTACTATAGTAGTAGGTATACAGGGGTTATGTCAAAAATACATATGTAGTCTGTAGTAGCATATAGTATAGTGTACTAGTAGTAGGTATACAGGGGTTACGTCAAAAATACCATGTTCTCGTAGCAGTAGAAAGTATGTGATGAAACAGGTACTTTGAGATGTTACTCTAGTATATGTAACCTATAGTACTACCTATTATTACCTATACCTCTTCCATTGAGCTCAACCTTTTTGCCAATGTGCACCCATGCGTTTAATGAACCCACAAGTCAAGGTTAGCTGGAGATGGAGAGGAGACTTGCCCGCTGCATGTTGATTGGACGAGACGAGGGGTCACGCGGGGGTCAGACATGCTTCTCCGTGCTCGTGGAAATAATCTTGACAGGCTCGCGTATGGGACAAGGAGGGGAAAACATGGAGAGATTGGGAACAGGAGAGCTGGTATGTGTATCCGGTTATTGCTGACTCCACTGTCTTCCAGAGCCAAAGTCACGGCTCATTTGCTGGCTGACATTCAGACGCTCTGCTCCTGTGCGTTATAGCGAGCTCCACACATCGCCCGTGGCAACAGGACCGGTCAGCTGATCTCTTTCATTCACTGTGGAGTTGTACATGGTTGATACACTATACACTAAAGGACATGCTATTTATCAACTGTGCTCTAGTTGTATTGCTCTTTTTTTTTATAGCTCATTGTAATTCAATTAGAACAAACCATCGCCCGTTTTTATTAATGCTGATTTTTCACTCCTGGTGTGGTCTATATGCAGTTACATTAATGCACTGCACACAATTGATCTTCGTGTTATGTCAGATGCCCTCCCAAATCACTGTCCTTCTTCATTTCTACTGATCTTTGTACTGGTGTTGTGCATATGCAGTTACATTAATGGACTGTACACAATTAGTGCTCGATATCCTCCCAAACTAGCCTAATTCATCAGCTGGTTTCACTTTGTTGAAACTGTCTGACCTTGCAGTGTTAGAATTCGTTCGCTCGAGGGTAGACGGGTACTTTTTTTTATTTAACCAATCTCTGATATTTGGTCGTGACATATGTAATGCGCTGGTGACGGGGCTAACAGGTTTATTAAGCTTTTTCCAAATCCCATAGGAAGAAGGGCAATACATATATTGATACAATTCACCAAACATTCTCCTTGCTCTAGCTTTACTTCCTCAATATCAGGAATTGTTGCCAGCACAGAATATATGGCTCTTTGCCAATTGGCTTGTGCCCGAACTCGCACTTTCGGGGTTCTGGCAACCTGTCTAGTGTATTCCGATTCCTGATCTAGTCGCTGGAAAGAAATGAAATTGAGCAGAGGCACTAGGTGGTGCCAGCCTGGCTACACCCAATCTATTGTCCTTCCTTGTTGCTGATGTCTGTACACTGACATTGCCTATATGTGATTATATATTAATGAATTGCAGGTTATATTTTATGTCAGATGCCCTCCCGGGTCCATTTGGTCAGAATTAGTCAGACTGACACTTGATTTAGTTAGAAATAGAATTTGGAAATAATTAAAAATGCAAAAATGCAAGTCTTTCTGATGCATTTTTGAGCAATAAAACATGTAATAAAAGAAATAATAGAAGTTTAATGCCATACTGCGGAGAATTTCAGGCAAAATAGCATCTCCATGGAGATAAACGTGCATGATTAAAATGTTTTGGGCGTACAGGGTAGTATAAATCTTTAATGTTTACAGTACATTTCAAAAGGTTTGTTTTGGATATACTCTCCAAATGATCAAAAAGTCATTGCAGCTTGTATCTCTTCCATTTTCAGTTTAAATTGTGTGGCCGGTGTCCACGAACTTGTCCTATTCCACCTTTCTCCATTTTTCAAAGCTGAAACCAATAATGCGAAAATAGCTTTTGACCCCCTGTGGCCAGATTGGAGACTGCAGTAGATAAACGGTGTCCATATCTGTATTCACCATAACCATACTGTAGGAGGAAGTGTAATCCCAACCAAATCACCAGCTCAGTGTGCTTTATAATGTTCCAGTGGAGATACAGGCTCTCTCATCTGCTCCTCAATAGATCCTAGGATAGTCTTGTGTATCACCTCATACATAAAGATAAAGAGGAGCAAAAATGCCATCTCTTTAAGATTCCTGGTGCGGACGAGGTGCTCTGTCTGCGCTGCCCGGAGACGATCGACATCTTGTGCAGGTGAATCTGGGCGACGGGTTTGGTGATAAATCGACCTTCAAGACGTTGGATATTAGTAAACAGGAACTGTTCTTGCGTCTTCCTCAAAACCAACTCAGATATTTGGTATTTCAGGAAGTGCTAACACTGGAAATAGTTATAATAATAATTTCAGTTATTCTCAACTTAAGTGATGGTTCCTGTTGTTATTTTCTAATATTCTTCAGCTACAACTGCTACTACTACTACTGCTACTACTACTACTACTACTGGTACTGCTGCTACCGCTGCTACCGAAACTGCCACTGCTGTTACGGCTATTGCTGCTACTACTGCTACTTCTACTACTACTACTACTACTGCTACTTCTACTACTACTACTACTACTACTTCTACAACTACTACTACTACTACTTCTACAACTACTACTACTACTACTTCTACAACTACTACTACTTCTAATACTACTACTTTTACTACTCCTTCTACTACTACTACTACTGCTACTTCTACTTCTACTACTACTACTACTACTACTACT